CGATGTGTCTGTTGCGGACACCTCCCCACCTGCCACAATAACAGGCTGAAAGGGCTGTCATGTGCAGAGGTATGGAAGGTCAGCTTTGAAAAGGCCCCAACTTAGACACGAAAGTTGAGTTTTCTTTGGTTGTGATTTACTAAATAGAATTAAAAATTTTTTTTGAATTATTTATTTTATTTTATTTATTCATTCATTTTATTTTAATTTGACCACAGAGAGAGAGAGAAAGAGAGAAAGCAAGCCACCAGGTCCGGGACTCAAACCATGGGCGGCCCTGTGGGAGTGTCCAGCACCTTAAACACCACGCTACCTGCTGGTCCCCACTAAATAGAATATTAATAGCTACCAGATTTATAATTGTGACCACTGCTTAATCTAACCCTAGCTCGGTCCTAGATGATTTGAGGGTTTTTTGTTTGTTTGTTTGTTTGTTTGTTTTTAAATCTCCTTAAATGATCTGTGAATGTTCATAATCAAATCATAAAGCTTTTTACGAGGACTCAGTTCTGGGTAAGATAGAGAAAGAACTCTCTACCCACCATACCCTGTCTCTCCCATGAATAGAAGCTACAAAACCTGGAATCCATGCAGCAGCTATTTGAGGACTGAAGCAGGCAGACTCTAAGATGCCCCCAAGGAGTCCTGCCTCCTGTTCAATTGACACTCTTATGTAATTCCCGCCCCTTGAAAGTGGGCTATATCTAGTGATTGGTTTCTAGCCAATAGAATGCACCAACAGTGTTAGGCTATCATTTCTATGACTAGGTTATAAAAAGATTATGACTTTCTGCCTTGCTTCCAGACTCTCTCTATTGCCTTTGCTGCTTGCATGCTTTCAATGAAGTCAGCTAGCTATGTGGCAAAGGACTGGGGGAAGAATCTGACCAAAAGCCAGCAAGGAACTGAGGCCCTCTATCAAACAGACCTCATGTAACTGCATCCTGCCAATAACCATTTGCGCTTGGAAGCAGATTCCTCCCCAGTCAAGCCTTTAGATGACTGCAACTCAGTCAACACCTTGTTTGCAAAAGCCCATAACATGTTTCCTAAAGTCTAGGGCCTAGGTAAGCCATGCCTCGGTTCCTGCCCCACAGAAACTATAAGACCATAAATGTGTGTGGTTTTAAGTCACTAAGTTTTTTGGTAATCTGTTGCACACCAATAAATAACATGTGGACTGTGAAAAGTAAATAGCAGAAGGCAAATTGAAGAAACAGACCTGAACTTGAAGTAACATTGAACTGGCAGGGAGTTTACCTTTTTTCCTTTCCAGTTCCTCCAGACTATTTTCAAGGAAGCAGAAATTCAAACTAAATCCACAATAAGGCTAGCTGTGGTAGCACAGCAACAATGCAATACTCTACAATGCTGAGGCCATATGGGAAGGTCCCAGGTTCTTGTCTCAAGGTTTCCCTGTGCATGATATATGCACATGTGTCCCAGATCCAGCAGTTTGACTGCAGTATGGCCATCCTCTCTGGGTGGTGCTTTCTCACTTTCTCTTCCCCACCCACCCTCTCCACCCCAGAAAGTGCATGCACCCTATAATAGCAAATTAAACAAACAAACAAAGAAGCCATGGCAGCGAGAATGAACAGAGGGGCTGAATGTAAAAGAGTTTTGTGTTTTGTATAATAAACCCCACAGGCCTCAGACTGGGTATGGGGATCTAGGGTTACAGAGGCAACAAGAAGGGTTCTAAGATTTTAGAAGAATTGATGGATTCATCATTTATTCAGCAATACTTACTGGGTGTTGACCATATACCAGGCACTATGTTAGGTGCTGGGGGGACAATGATAGACAACATAGACATGGTCCCTGTCTTCTTGTCATTTGTAGTCTAGAAGGTGATGCCATGAATTGAAGAGTATTAAAAGATATGGGAATCAGACATGAAGGGGGACAATTGTGTTTACAGTAGAGACAGATAACAAATTTAGTTAGAGATGTGCTAAATCTGAGTGTCTGTGAGACTTCACTACTCAGAATAAGCCTGAGTTCAGAGCCCAGGAAATAAATCAGGTCCAAAAAGTTAGATTAACGAGGTCATCAGGTTTACTGATAATAGCCGAAGTAATTAGAGAAGATAAAATAGCCAGGGAGAGCTTCTAGAGTAAAAGGGCTACAGAGGCAAAAGCAGAACACTAGGGAATAGAGACATGAAAGAGAATGAGAAAAGGAAGAAATAAACAAGGAGGCTAACAAAGAACAGTCTGGAAAATGAAAGGCCAAGGAGAGAAGGTATCTGTAAACCAAGGGAGACTCGTGTTACCATATAACCCACACATACCTTTACCAACAATTACTGCATAGAAGCAATTTACCTTGCCAAAGTACAACTCAGATATTCAGTTATGGATATGTTTTGCATGAATTCCAAATGGGCTTATCAAAACTGCTTTTCATTTAGAGAGCTGTGATATTTTTAAGTATTGCCACAATCTGTTCCTTTATCTTGTATGTGCTTATGTTTTGCGTGTATCTCAGTTTGACATCGAGCATGAGTCAATAGCAAAGTGATGGTAATTCCTTATTTCTTCTTCTTATCCTCAGCAGGAGCTATAATCTGCCGTTCCAAGACAAAAGACAAAGAATCTACGTTTATGTAACTCCCTCTCATATCAGAGTGCTGGGAATTGGGCTGTACTGATCTAGGCACAGATGGTAGTGTTGTGTTACGAGATCATCACGAGGCTCCTGCTCAGAGCTCTGTTAACAGGTGAGCCCCTGATATGAGAAGATGCTCTGGTCCTTTGGACTTTTTAGAAAGGCCCTTAGAGACCTCCATTTTATAGCAGAGGAGATCAGGCCTAGAGCAGTTAGCTAGCCTCCCTCAAACCAGTCTCATGACTCAGTGGCTAGTATTCTTGCCATTATGTCAAAGTGACCCAATTCCATACTGTAAATATATACATTAAAGTACTATAAACTTCATTCATAAAACACAGTCTACAAGAGTTGGGATAAACAACTAAATAAACAGAGGAAGCAGGTAACCTTTCAGTTATATGGTCTTATGCCTACCCGATCACACTCATTTCATCTGATCTATTAAGTATTCTTACCCTTTCTGCTAGGTTTTTCCAGTTCCACACAGGCCCAAAGAAAGTTGACTCCTAGATCTTCGCTTTGCTGGTTGCTGAATATTTCAGCTGAACCTGTAAGTTGAGGACAGAATCCATCATCACACTTGTAGGTCTTACTTAAAGAGGATTCCTCAGCTCCATCTGAAATCTTCTTGAGGTAGATTCTAGAATGATTCTTGAATAGGTTGTCTTGGCAACTCCACAATGTAGAATGCCAATGTAGGATGACAGTACCTACCAGCAGCATGTAGGCAGCGCAACCTAAATGAAATGACCACTTCTTATTAAAAGGCAGATTTCAGAGTCTTCAAGCTTTGTTACAGTGCCTTCCTGTTGACCATTTTTGTGTTCATGAACACGGAAAACAAAGAACAGGTTGTTTTTGGAAGAATGCTAAAATTATTATCTAAAACAAAACCTAGCAAATATTCACCCTTTCTCTTCAAAACCCTGGCTACTCTTATCTCAGATGACTAAGAGTTTATGTAAAGTTTTTGGAAAAGTTATTAAAGCATTTTTTAGAGTATTCTTGACTTGGTTTCATTCATATATTCAACAAATCATACACACATCTACTGTGTGTTGGGTACTGTTCTACACACTGGGGATATATCAACTCACAAAAATGACAAGGTCCTTTCCGTCTTGAAGCTTACAGACTAGTGGGAGAACTAAACATTAATAAAATAATCACAAAAATATAAAATTGCCAAGGGCCAATATGAATGTTATGAGTGTATTGGGAGGTCAAGCAAAGCCTTCTCTAAGGATGTCATCTTTGAACTGACATCTGAAGGATAAAAACAATTAATTAGGTGAAGATGTTGATAGAGAAACAGAGTCAAGCACACACTTGAACATGTGACCTGAAGTGGATAACCCGGGAGTTGATGATTTGGGGACTTTCAGAGGAAAATCTAGGGCTTTAAATAAGTCTTAGTTTACTAAAGGTAGATTTCCCAATTTCATCAATATTCAATCTATGAGTCTCTTACAACTCATATAAAATTCTCTCAAAGAGTAACTTCAACATGCTTACAGATCACCCAGAAATATCATCAAAACACAGATTTCAGGGCCCAATTCCTAGAAGTTCTGATTCAGTAGTTCTGGGGTAGGGCTGGTGAATATGTATTTCCAATAAGATCTTAGATGTTGGTGGAGCCTACTTTGAAGAGCAGTGCTCTATAACACAGGACAATTTTTTTTTAATTAAAATTTCTTTCTTTCTTTTAATTCATGATAGAGCACATGTGCATGCATATAAAAAAAAAGAGAGATGTTTCCTCATCTATAAAACCAAGATAAGTAGCAGTATCAACCACACTGGATTGATGTAAGACATGAACACTCTCCACAGAGTCTGGTCACTCTGTAGACTCCTTCCTCCAGTCCTCCTGCCTATGGGATCCTGGACACTTGTTGTGAATGCCTGGTATGTTTCAGACTGATTAGACCAGGTATTCAAACAGTGGTCACTATGTGGAATCCAGCTTCTCTTGAGAAACACTTTAACCACTGCACCACAGAGCTGGCCCTTAAATCCCTATTTCTTTTTCTTTTTAGTTTACCAGAGGGTGTGTATGCTCACCAGAGAGAGACAGAAAGGTAGAGGGAGGGAGGGGAAAAGCACCCCTCGCCAGCAGGGTGTAGTATTGTAATGTTGTAATCCTTTTTCCTCCATTTCTCCAACGTGTTGAGATTTGGGTGCACATGCACCCAGCAAGTTTTTCAAGCCACCTGGGTCAGGATTCAAGATGCAGTGGGCCATGTGGGACCTGGCTCTCTAAACCACTAGACCATAGGGATGGCTCACTATTTCTTTTTCAATTCACTCT